GTGACAGGCGGGGATACTTACCACTATACTATCGCGGATTTGCTCATACACCTGTGATACTAATCTGTTTATATATCATTTGAGTTATTCTTCTTACAAAAGACACTTTGCATTTACTTTATTTTGTGGAACAAGAATACCTAAACCAAATTTATATATCGTTCAATAATATTTTAAAATGTCTAATCAAAACAGTTATCTGAATCAATAACTAGCAATAAGGCATCAAACGAAAGAAGAGCTCTTGAAGTCTATCATAAGCAAGCATGATGCTGAGTTATCTGGATTTGTAAAAGATGAGATCTTTCGAGCGAATGACAAATAAGTAGAAGCTCTTGTCTATGGCTATTGTCCTATGATTTAATCAAAAGTAAGTCAAACATATCAAAATTTATCAAATTGCTTAACTAGTTATTTTTTAGAGATTCAATGTTTAATCTATTATTGCAAGATAAAAGCTTTAGATTTAGAAAAAGGAGATTTAACTTACAATGAGAAATTTGAGCCTCAAGTAAAATGTCATACCTGTTAAGGAATATGAGGAAAAGTTACGATTGTTGCAATAGAAAATTGATGAAATCAGTAGAAACATAGAAAATTTAGATGATGCTCTAGAAATAGAGAAAATGCTTGGATTGCAAAAAGAGCAACAAGCGCGCACAGTTAAAAACCTAGCTGATTTTTTGAAAAATAATAAGACAAAGGAAGAATTATAGAAAGAAAAAAAAGAGGCTGAGGATTTTATAAAAAAGATTAACAATTAAAGATCAGAGTTTAGAAATCAGATGGAAAGAATTTAGAAGAGGAAGAATTAGCATATAAAGGAATTGGAATAAAAGCATGCAATGGAGCAGTAAGAGAAACTAATGCTTTAAAAGAAAGAGAAGTAGGAATAAGTAGAGAAATTTTAGAAGGAATTGAAAATTAAAGATGAACTCCGTAAAAAGGAGAATCAGGAGTAAGCTATTAAAGTACAAGAGATTTTAAATGCTAAACCTCTATATATGCAAAAGGAGGAGAAGTATAAGGTGGAAGAAGAGAAATCATACCTAGATAAGTAGTAAGAGTATATTAAAAATGTAAAAGAAATAAGGAGGCCTATTGAGCTTAAAGAGATTGAGGATCATAGAGTTAAATATTTAGAGGCCAAAAGATTTAAGGAACTCAAGCTTCAAAAAGATAGAGAGAAATTTTTAGATGAGGTTGAAGAAAGAGCTAGATTGGATGAACTCAGACTTAAAAAATATCTAAATAAATCACCTATGGCAATGTAGATGTATGAGAAGGAAATCTAAGATCAAGAAGAAAAGGAAAGAGAGAAGGAAGTGCAGAGGAAAAAAATGTAGGAACGAGTCTAGAATTATAGTCATTACGTTCGTGAAATGTACTTTCCTAAGATTAGTCTCACCAAGAAAGAAGAGTTAGAAGAACTTAAAAATCATATCAAAACTACTATTCGAACTTCCAAAGCTTCTTCTTCTTAACGCTAATCTTTAACCGATCTACACAATGATAATATAACTAGCAAATCAATGGTTAACAGTCATTCAGCAAATAAATTGTCAATAGCTAAGTATAATCATAGAAAAAATAATGAGAATAACTTCAATGCAAAGACTGAAAACTCTATTGAGTCTCAAAGTAACTCTAATAATCATCAACCGAAAATTAAAAGAGTTGATTGGACCAAATTCGAAAACAAACTTAAGCCTCAGACACCTACTCAGCTCAAACCTACTTAATACCATGACAGCACAACTGATTATCTCAAAGATCAAAGGGTTAAGAGATCTAATTACAGTGTCAATCCAAATATGGCTTTCATAGAGAGATAGCTTAATAACAATGATAAGATGGATAAAGAAAAATTAGATCTTATTAAAGATAGAGCTAGATAAATTGAAAGAAGAGCTGCTATGGACGAGAAAATACTGAGAAATGATAATAATAGAACAGTAGAGGATGAGATGGCAGTTAATGACATGTACCTCGATGCCATTACAGCTAAACTTAGACTCCTAGATAGAATCTGATATGCTTAAGCATTATTAACTACAAGGTTGACTTAGAAAGGTAAAAATGTTTTATAGCTAAATAATTTGTATATTTCTATAATTTAAAAGCATTCAATCCCTCAATCAAACAAATAATTTCTTCACGGGGTTTTGGGGTTTTGGGGTTTTGGGG